GGTTGGTTTGGACTGGGTGTGAAACTCACCCTGAGGAGGGAGGCAAGGGGCCAAGAAAGGGTGCTGTGCCGTCTGAGATTTCTTTAGTCCTGAAATTTGAAAACTGGTGCTGTTTGCAGAAGAGAATGATGTATGTGAGAGAACCTGACAGAGCGGCAGCTCTGGATTCACAACAAGCAGGTTGCAGTCGAGCTGCTGCCACTGCAGCTGGCGGTGGTGCTGCTGCTGCCGCAGGTGCGTCAGGGACAGCCACCTCAACGGGTAAAAACAAGATGATCTGCAACAGGCCGACAGCGCTGCCCCTCATGACGACGCCTCCAGGGGACGCTGGTAGAGGAAGCGCCAAACCGGCATTTGTGGTGGTGGAGGATGACAGCAAACCGGATCTAAGGGACTTGCTGTATGACAGTCTCGAGACAGAGCCAACACTGCTGAAACCTCCGCCTTTTCGCCGGTGATAGGGAGGAAAAGGAAGAGGAGGGGAGGGAGGTGGGGGAAGAGAGGGAAATAGAGGAAGAAGGAAGAGGAGAGGGAGGTTTGACGGGGAGAAGGGGGGGGGGAGGAGGCGGGAAGAGGGGTAGTGGAGGAGAAGCGAGGGGGGCGTTTGGTCTGATGAAGAGGACACCTGGCGGAAATGCAGTGCGCAACGGCACAGTTTGAGGTGTTGTTGCTGTCCATGTTCGTGCGCAGTTTGATGGCAGAGGGTGTAGCTAAAGATGGCCGAAGGCGGAAGATGGCACAAATTTTGCAAGTACACAAGGATAAGAGGTGCCTCACTGCGACACCTGGTGTCTTCATTTTCTATCTGAAGAGAAATGTCAGTTGAACTTTACAAAATTGAGGAACTTGAAATTGTTGTACCTGCTGAGGCAAGAATGCTTAAGCTGTTCCTCCGCATTGGAGTTTTTATTCTTGCAGTTTTTTTTTGTGGCATCCAGAAAAAGCTCTGTAATGAGAAGGCCTGTACACAGCTATGGAATAGAGAGAAGTGGTAGAGATGAATGAATGTGCACAGAGGAATATGTCGTTGTTCATTTAGCAATCTTTAGCATTTGGCCATGTGGATTAGCATTTTGGCTATGTGGTCCTTATGTGGATTAGCATTTGGCTATATGGAATAGCCATAGCTAGGAAGCACAGCTTCGACGAATTTGCTGTTACTTAAAGCATTTGGCTTTGCCAGACAGTGAGAAGCTAGGAGGGCACGTTTTCAATTATGCATTACTCAGGGTATACTCACACCAGGGCTTCGGGACTGGGCTCTGGACAGAATAGCGGTCAGATGCATTGAGAGTCGGCCGTAATTGCTGTCAGATACGCTAAGGAAAGTCCTAGTGTGCATATGCCCTCGGCAGGTGGTGTCATCTGACCGTTTGATCGAAATTCAAACGTAGTTGCGGGGAGATGTGACCATCGTTTGTTAACTTTGTTTTCTAATTTTTTGGCTAATAAGCTGTAAAGGTGTCCAATCGTTCCCAGCTCTGAAGTTTACAACGGTGACAAAGCATGTGGTGATAGTGGTGGGGTGGGGTGGGGTGAAATTTATGGTCTGCTTGCTTGGACGGGACCGTTCCCATACTGTCGTAGAACGAAAGACCACCTGGATGTATATCAAGACTTTTAGGCAGGGGAAAACAAAAAACAAAAGAAAAGAAGACCTTTAGGCGGTGAAGGATGAAGCAAGTGACCAGTCCGGTTCGCTTTGCCGCGTGCGGCACCCTCCCCCCGGACCGGCGGACGGACCCGGACCGGACCGGACTGGACGGGGCCGTTTTT